CTTGGCATCAGAGAGCCATTGTAGGTAGAATATAACTAGTACTAACTTGGCTCCCGCAGTCTTTTTTCTGGGACAATTTTATGTCGGAAGATGTATATTCCTGAGATCTTTGTTTAGTAAAAAATTCATTTCAGCATCTCATATAGAGCCCGAGAAAATCCAAAAATACTGTCATTTCGATGACAGGTCATACCCCAAGTTTTTGACAGTTTTTGATCTACAGAGAATTTTTTATCCTATATATTAGTTATTAAAATAGAATAGAATTATAGCCCAAACAGTTTCCTCTGAAATAAGACTTTCCTCAGCTCAAACGATCAAGTTGCTCATGATATAATGTCAAAATACTGAGTACACCCTCAAGATAACCATTTTTAGGGGTCAAAATAGACCCCTCAAACTTGTTTAAGCCCGCATTTTTCATAGGCAAAGCCAAATGACCTAATATTTTGGATTTGTCTATGGTTTAAATAGACCCGTAATTTGAGAAAATAAAATCGAAAAAAAATTTTTCCGGGCGCCGTAGGTGGTTCTCTGGCGGACGCTCTCTTAAATTTGTTTTCGCAACCCTAGTTTTGTATGAAGAATCGATTGATGTAAGAATAGTATGTTATTTTCGACCATACAATGGCTCTCTGATGCCATGCTCGATGAGCTCATGAAATTTCTCTTTAAGGTTGTTATATAGAATAGAACAAATTACTTTGAGAATTTTGTTGTTTATTTGAGTTTTCAATCGATGCATTATTTATTGTTTGAGCATCTGAAATAACTTCATTTGCAAGATAAGAGAACAATAATTGAACAAATAACAACTTACGTTCATTGTTTTTACGAATATTTATTTTCTTTTTGATAACAATACAAATGATTGTAATTGTGCAGCATATATTAATTAAGAGTGGTAACATAAAATTGATGATCGAAACAATCTGATGAATAATTAACCACATTGATTGATGAACGACTGGAAACTCAATAACGCACATACTGCTCTTAATATTATTGAAACCAGAGAATGATTTGACAAAAACAAGTTCATATGCACCAGAAAACAAAATCAAAAAAAATGTAATTGCCATTAAACATCGAGCAACCCGCGGCTTTTTCAGCCATTGTCCTTTTAGATACACTGTTGAATAAATACGTTCAATCGTCACTAATGATGCCAACCAATAAGCAATACGAATGGAACAATTTAATAAATAACTTAATATCTTACAAAAAATCTTGTCAATCATAGGATGAGAATAAATACCAGATATAGTCAAACTAAGATGAATCAAACGAACAGCGAAAAAACCAACACATATCTGATTAATAATACTCATGCAGAATAAATATTGGCCAACACCATTACACAAACAATTTTGACGACGAAATGTAACAAAAGAAAAAGTATTATTTAGTAAAGCGATGATAAATAATAAAGCAGAAATAATAATTAATAAACAAAGAGTACGTTTGAACTTAATTGCAGTAAGATCAATGAAAAATAATTGATCAAGAGTAAAGGAAAATGAATTTGAATTGAATTGACAATTGCTACCTGAATAACACGGTGGACACAAGCAAATAAAATCATTTAATTTGAATTGATTTCCTCTTAAACATCGTCCACCAGATAAACAATTTGAACATAAATCAAAATTATGATTATAACCAAAACATTCAACACGAGAATGATCTTCTTCACATATACATATATAAGATTCATCATAAAAACAAGTTAGATTTGTATTATTTCGACATAAATAATGATATTGAAACGGAGAATAATCTAAAGAAAAATATTGAGAGACCAGAATTCAGCTTAAGAAATTTTCAGCTTGGCTCGAAAATTCGATAACTTTTTGGTCCTGACCGAAAAATCATTAGATTTTCGGGTAGGCCGAGAATCTGAACTGATAATTCCTTGAGCCACAACTCATGTAACCCAAAATATTTATTTTGTGAAACACGAACTAAAAGGAGTGTTGAAGTGTTTAGGAGCAGAGATTTGGGCCCACTACCCTCGCTTCTCCCCTACAGACGTGACAGACTCCTTAGCAATCATCACAGACAGATTCAATAGGTTTCCTCCTCACAGAATCAGTTAACCACAATTAATTATAATTAATTAATAACTTTTATTAATGTTTTTCTCGTATTTTGCACTGAAAAGCTGTTGTTTTCGTATAAAAATCTGCTGTGTTGTATAATGCAAAGAGATTTCTAAAAAAAACAGTAGAAAAATGGCAGTCTTTAACTAATTATTAATTAATATATTCGAAGAATCCTGCGTTTTTGTAATTAACTAATTAATTAGCGCATTGTATTTTAATAGAGTCGATGGACTTGGGTTCAGACATGATCTTATATTGAGGGTGGTTGCCTATTTGGGGAAGAAGGGTTACGTATAAGTTTATAGTCAAGTATTATCTCTCTGCGATAAGTGTTAGCAGCTATATCGTATTTCACATTTTAATCCTATAGGGATTGCGCTAACAGCTTTATTAAATCAAGTCAAATCTTCTTACTTGAAATCAATGCAAGAATACTAACACATTGACTTTTTTCGGTCACCTCAGTCGTTCCAAGAATTGTTGTCTCTTTTATATGAAGTGATAATAAATAAATATTTGATTGAATATCATTATAAGAAAAATAAAGTTTTATTAAAATCATATCCGATAAAGTTTTTCCATCATTTATATATCTCAACATAGTTGGAAGAGTATGAAAAATTCTTTGATCAACAAGAATAAGTTCTAATGAAATAGATTCGATTTTGAAATATTGAATAACAGATCCTATATGATTAACAGTTTTAGTTATATTTAATTGAACTTTTGGTTTATTAAATTGACATTTATCACCGTAATATGAATCATTACATAAACATATAAAATCATTTGGATTAGACTTTGGAAAACATAAACCATTATTTTGACAGGGATTTGATAAACATTGATCATATTCAATTTCACATCTATTACCAAATCGATTCAAAAGACATAAACAATATGGAAAACGATTTCCTTTTTGAAAACCTTGATAATCTGGTTTACATAGTGATTTTGATGAACAATATTCATCAATACATAATTGATTTCTAACTGAACAATTTTCTCCTCCAAAATTTGCTTTGCAAATACATATAAATGTCGAATTTTCATTAATAATTTCGTAACATTGTTGATTTTCATTACATGGATTACTTAAACACGGATTTTTGTCATTATTTAGTTTAATCAATCGAAGAACTTTAGCAAGACGAAAAACGGGTAAATAATCAAAATAAATCGGATATCGCCAAATAGCAACAATTGAAACTTCATCATTATTTTTCATTTCATAAGCTTCAATACGAATTGAATAAGGATGATCATTAATTATATTGGATCGATTTTTATACCGTTCTTTTTTATGTAAAAGATATTCAAAAGATCGTGAATAAACAAAATAAATCATCTTTTTTTCATAAACAATCGATTCAATTGATGGTCGAACATGAAATTCATGTTGAAGAATAATTTCATTTCTAAACATAAATAAGACGAGTAACTTTATTACTATTTGATGATCAGTTTGTTCGTTATAAATTGATTGTGACAGATTTAAATGTACAAGAACAATTAATCGATCAGTTTGAAATTGACATTTATCTCCATAATATTGTGGAGGACAAAAACAAATAATTGATTTATTATACATTTCAATGCCAATACCACGATTACATAAATAAGGTAATAATGATGACATCACTTCAGATGACATTATTTTCATATATATTTTCTCTTTTATTTGAAGAGATTTATTCATAGATTCACTTGTCTTTGTAGTTTTTGGATATCGATATAATTTAAGAATCTTTCCTACATCCACTGTGAAACCAAATTTCAATTTCCGATAAGAGACTTCTAGTTTAAATGAACGTTTATAATAACACATATATTCATCTTCAGCGAAAGGACAATCCGGATTAATATTACATCGACCACTTTTAATATATGTACCATTAAAACAAACAAAATCACCTTTTAAAATATTGTTACTAGAAAGATTCTTGTGATAATTACACCAAAACAAATCGTCAAGTCCATCAAAACATCTTCCATGACAAATCGACATATAATGCGGGCAGTTGTACCTATTTGATGGACACATTACATGATATCCAAGCATTTCGTTCATTACACAATGCTGAAGGGTATTACGTTCATCTATACCTCCGTAACAATCAATATGACCATCTCCAATTTGATTAAAACTAATACAAGGACGATTATCTAACGAATTATAAAATGAATTAGATACATTTATAGGAATACATCCGAATTCTCTACTCTGATTGCAAAACATGGAAAATGGTCGAATTTCATAATAAACATTCGATCTTATTCTAAGTTCATTCAATTGAATTAATTGAAAATTTCTATCTGGTATTGAATAATCAAATACTCCTTCTTCGTCTGATGCATCAACACAATCCCATTCCCCATCTAATACCCAATCTGTATTAATACATTGTCCTGAACGACATTGCCATTGATAATCTAAACATATCCACCATTGTCGACATTGATTGAGATCTTCTTCGTTTGAATTAATATTCCAAAATGTATCACAATAATCACGAAAAGAAACTCGTCGTTCTATATGAGATTTATTTTGATCAAACGATGCCCATGACATTTTAATATATTGACGAAGAATATTACATTCATTTGTCGATTCACTATGACAAAGAAATGTAGATAATTTTCTAGTTGTACCCATCCAGAGTTCATCGAAATTATTTAGACAATTTTGTATGCTATCTCCAATAGAAATAACATTTAAATATGTTTTCTCATCGAAAGAACATTGAAAACGATAATGATTTACATTCGATAAATTATATTTTATATTTTCATCAGATCCATCAAGACAATTTTCGATTCCATCATTAATGCGATAGACTGATATACATTCTTTTGATTTCTTACAAATATCAATTAATTTGTACAGATTATTGTTAAAAGTTTTTGAATTATTATGACAATTTGCATTATAGCTAACGTTGTTAATTCTTAATATATGCCAAGGTGAATTATCATCATCACACAGTGAATATTCTATCCTGCGAGACCTTAGCTCAGGTCGATGATAAACATAGCGACTATTCATCTTGATTGAAAATCCACGACATTTGATTGTTCCATTTAAATAAAGGACTGGTGATTGTGCTCTATGCGATAGATACTGTATATCATAATAGTAGAATGTATATGGCGTTATGATTGCACCTTTTGGGTATTGGATACGTTCATAAAAACAGAGATCCTGTAGATGATCTTTACATGAAGATTTCATCTTACACGGACATTGTTTTTCATATCCTTGAGTAAGAAAACATTTTAGAAGGTATTCACATCGTTCATCAATTGTTTGATTCTCAATTGTGAATTGTTTGTATTGAGGAGCTCCATAACATCGTCCATTCGGTAGTGTCCACATTTGTGTGTCGCCATGCGTTTCACATAAATAATATTGTTCGCGTCGATTTTCACAAAAAGAAAGTTCTGTTGACATGTCCAATACTTGAAAATAAAGTCGATCGGAAATACATTGTCCATCACCACATGGCCATTGATCAGGAGGACATAACCGATCATCACATACAGAACTAACTTCTTCAAGTGCACACACTGCATCATAGTACCATTGAATTTCATCACTCCAGTCTAAACAATCAAATTGACCATCAAGAAAATATTCTTCAGGAATACACATTCCATTAATGCATCTATATTCATCATCTTCACATTCATTAAATTCAATAAAGTCACAATTTTCTTCATCTAATCCAAACATACATTGTTGAAAACCATTACAAATTTCTCTCCAATCAAGACATAGTAGTCCATAATTGCATTCCAATGTTGTATAACATATAATATTTCCATGCATCTGTACTTGCCATTCGTTGGCTTCTTTCATAGAAACTTCCCAATCGATTGTCTTTTCGAATGTTGTACCAATAGGTAATCGATATTCACAACTTTTTCCGAATGATTGTAGATTAGTGCATTCGCATAGAAATCCATCAACTTCATGCGGATGTTTTATATATCGGGAATATTCATCTACTTTTTCAATACTTGACTTCCATTCATGTAATATTTTATTTACACTGATATTATTTGATTGAAGTGAAGAAAATGAGTGAACTTTTCCACCGTAGTGGCATTGCATTGTTCCGTCTGTTCGTTGTAATATAATGGGTTCTACAGGACGACGACAGTAGGAAAGATCTCCATGCTTGATACAATCGTA